AAAGTAATGTCGTTTATTTTCAATTTGAAATACTTGTTTGTCACTCACTAGCTCATTGATTTTTATCGATTGGCATTCACAATTTTTACATTAAATTCAAAAAGGCTGTTGATAACGATTAACGAATTTAATGTAAAATAAACGATATTACTTTCCAGTCCACCTAATATGCGTATTTAAAATATTTTAAATACTGTTTTAAATAATAGATTCTTCAGAATTCAAATAAAATAGTATTTGAAATGGGATATAAAATTTCAGCAAATAAAATACTTTACTTTGGTAATCTATAGTTGAAGCATGAAAATAGATATTTTATTTCGATAATCTAACACGTACAATAAAATATGTTTCATTTTAATAACATAAAGCATAAAATAGAATACTTTCCATAGTCACTAACTTGGAAAGGATGGAGAAACTATTTCTTGCAATATTATGATTTCTTGCGATTGAAGAATATCTCTTTCCATCGCTCATTTTATGAAGATTCTTATTGAAGATTCTTGATAGAAGTATTCATTGAAGAACTACATTGAACGTAGGTTAATAATGCAGAGGAAAAGTATTTCGTTCGTTTTAGATTACCAATATAAATATATTTTACACTATAATTTAGTAAAGTAAAAGTATTTTATTTGCTTGTGTTTTCCGAATAAAATATTATTTGAAATATTATCTCAAACATCTTTTATAACAAATCAAATATTTTATTTTTAAAAATACTTGCATGATCCGCAATCAAATATTTATTTACTATTTAAAGTACGTATTTTACCCAGCTCTGTTTGTAACTATGGATTACGTTTTCGTATTGGGATGAATTAAAAATTCTGGACGATTTTTCTTCTTCTTTCTATGTTCTTTTTTGCAACGATCGCTTAAGATAGTAAAGGCTGTACTATTTGCGAGGAGCTTGACAAAAAATTTAACGCGAATAATGTAGATGTGAAAAAAAAGCTTCGATTAGAGGCATTGTCCATACTAGCATGTTTTTAACATAAGAAGAGATTTATTGTAATATTTTCTAGATGGATGTTTGAAAAATAATAAGGGTATTAATATTTGGAATAAAAGCAATTGTATATTATTAGAGGGCCAGAAAGTAATGTCGTTTATTTTACATTAAATTCAAACAAATAAATTTGTAACAAGCTTTATTTTTAATCGATTATGTAATCGTCCTCGTTACAAACAACCTTTTGCTATCTAGTGTGCAAATTATAAAATATATTGATAAAAATCAATTGGTACCCAATGAGTCGATAATTAATAAATAAGTATTGACAGTTGCAGAAACGACATTACTTTCTGGTCGCCCTAATATTCACTAAAAAGCAAACAAAAATCTAATAATGGATTGCAATGAAGTGCAATGTAAAAAGAACTTTTAACCAAATGTTACGTTATTCTTAATGTAATTAAAAGTAAATTAGTTGATAAATTAGTTGAGATTAATATTGAACATTAGGTGATAAATTAGT